AGCAAAATCTGGAAACCATGTGCTTGATTATGAGTTGTTTAAACCTCTGCCCATTAGCCCCATTAAACATAGAGAGAAAATTTCACAGGTTCACAGAATTAAGAAAGATGACAAGTAAGCCAAAGCCTGGCTATGGTGAGGGAGCCCAGCCGTTTCCATGGAAACAGTAACCGGGTCCCAGGTAGGTGAGATCTCGCGGTGCTTGACCTGGCGGAAGTGACGTTAGGCCGCGCTCGCGGCCCTCTGGTGGATCGCCGCGGCCCCTCCTCCCAGAGCGGCCGCCTTTTCCCGCGCGAGCCGCCTCTGCCGCTCGGGCCGCCCGGGGGAAACATGGCGTCCGCCCTGGAGCAATTCGTGAACAGTGTCCGACAGCTCTCGGCTCAAGGTGAGGCCCTGGGCCGCCGGGCTGAGCCTGGGCGGGCCCTCTGGGCCCTGGGGACGGGCCTGTACCCCCAGCTTCCAACGCGGAGGGCTGGGACCGCCCTGTTAGCCCCGAGCTCGTCTCAGGGGCTGGGCTCGGGGTCGCGGTGCTTAGATCAGGGGGGCTCGAGCACGGCTGCGTTTAAAACAGCCCCTCGCGCTCTCGGACTCTGTTGCCCCGCCCGTCGGCCCGTGCACTCGGCCACCCGGCCTACTCCCCGCCCTCGGGCCGCCCGCACTCCTCCCCCCAGCCCGGGCCTCTTTCACCCGGGCGCTTCGCTTGACAGTTTGGGGGCGGTGACTTCCGCCAGACGCCTTCGCGAGCACCCATTGGCCCCTCGGCCCCCCCTCGCCTGCGGTGATTGGTGCTCCTTCTCGTCTGTCCCGGCGACCGCCTGGCCACCTCCAGACTAGGCCGCGGGCAGCAGGCGCGAGGCGAATCCTTTCTGGGTGCCTGGCTCCGGGCTCGCCTTCTCCCGCCCGGGCCCTGGAAACCTCCGCGTCTATTTCAGTCCTTCAGAATGCGGAGAGAGCTCTCGCTCGTAGCACTCCGCTTCTGGGGGTGGTGTTTGTGGCCATTATTACTTTGCCCATAACTTTCATGCTTTTTGATTCATCTCAGCACCTGAATAGAGAGCCCTGGGCTCAGAATTAAAGTAATTAGCTGCCAGCTGTGAAGGCTCCCAGTTTCTCCATCTGAAAAATAAAAATAATCCCCTCTACATAGTTGTTAAAATTGAATGAGAGAAACCTAGTGAACGCATGTGGAACAGTGCTTATTATATGAGGTGCAGTAGATAAAGTTGCAAATTATTGTTAATGGCCATTAATTTGTAAAGTTCTAGATGCTGCGTGACCTTGAATAAATCACTTTAATCGCCTGGGTCTTGATTCCATTCCTGAGAGTAGAGTGGTGCTCTCCCTCTCATAACTTTTAACTGCTCTGCTTAATGAAATAATTGTCTTGCCTTTTCTTTACTGATAGAAATTAGTCTCACAGGTAAAGAAAGCACAGGCTTGTAGTCTATGTGAATGAAGAAACCATTTGTGTCACAAGCACTTAAGTTTCTGCTTCCTGGGATGTGTGATTAGAAGATTTGAGTTGAAATCTGTCTCAGTCACTTTATGTGTGAGCCTCTTAATTTCCCTGGGCCAATTTTTTCAATTCCAAAACGGTAGTAGGACTGTTGTGAGCATCAGGTAGGATCGCTTACCTGAAAGCCTTGCATGCATGCTCTGTGCAAGACAGCGTTAGGAGAGTATGTCAGGCAGAGATAAAAACGATTCTTTCACTGCCCATGACTTCTGTGCCTCAGGCTCAGTACCAGTTTGCTTTGTTGATTATTGTTCAGAATGTTCTTCCATTAAGTGGAAGGAATGTCAAAATCTTCAGCTTCCTCTGGAGGAAATTTCATTTGCCAGATCTCTGTTTGGGTTCTTCAGATGCATCCTATGGCACTTAAATTTACTTTTGACCCTGTGCTAGTTAACTATCTGTAATTTCACAATGAACCAGCTTTTAAGTCTTTTCTCAGTTTTGCTTATTTAATTGGGGGAGAAAATAATGAACTGAGATATTTCTGGGTATTTGAAATTGTAAATGTATTTAAACTAGTGGGGGAAAGTCATATTATTTAACTAGAAGAAGCTATTTCATACTTGCTAATGAAATCCATAATAAAATGGTGAAATGGCATTTCCCAAGTCAACTTATGTTACTATCTTGAAACTTGATACCTAATAAGGTCATAATTTTTTTTTCTTGTTTTGCAGTGTATGTGATAATAATGGAATATTTTTGGTGAATATTAAAAGTATTTCAACATAGAAACATGAGAAATTAAAGTTTCTAGCTACAGTCAAATGTGTTTTAACCATATACTGTTTTTGGTTTTTTTTTTTTAAGATTTATTTATTTATTTGTACAAACATTGGGTGCAGTCAGAAGCGCGGGAGGGTGAGAGAATTCACCAGAGCCAGAGCGGGGAACAGAGCAGGCAGAAGGACCGAAGTACACTGCTGAGGGGAGCAGCGGGCGGCAGGAGAGGTCTGTGCGCCATGTGGGACCCTCCTCCAGTGGCCGGGAGCAGCCGGGGATCGAACCAGTGCTGCAGAGGCTGCAGGCAGCTTTGCAACCCAGCGCTCAACCACTGCGCCACCGGGGAGGCCCTTAACCATATACTGTTTAATTTTTTTTTTCTTTAATAAGAAAAATCTTCAGTTACTAAATAGAAATAGCTGGTATGGGTAGTTGACGTTCAAAATGTGAAAGAACTGAAGGAGGAAACTAAAGAGATTAGTATGTGGGGTTATATATAGTACCCTACCATCTGTAGAAAGATGGAGGAATTTTGGAGTAGTGGAGTGTGGCTGTGGTGTCTTAGAATAACCCATTAAAATCAGTGCGTCTACTTCACATTACCAATTTGAGCCTAATTAGATTCTGTACTTATTTGTTAAACCTTAACATTGGAATGTAGGGGGGAAACTCAGTGGATCAACTGGGATTAATTCAGCAAGCTTGTTGGTTGATTGGTTGCTGAGCAGGTAGTGTGTTCTGAAGCTGGAGAAAGGAGACAGTCTCCACCTGCATTTATATTGAATTACTTAGCCATCACAATTCCTGGTGTGCAGAGAGCAGAACTATCCAGGTTAGCCAAGGGAAAGGGAGGGGATTAGATGAGGGTCCAGGAAGGTCCAGGCTGAGTGTTAAAGGAAGAGCAGGAGTCTGATAATGAAGGGAGATGGGGACGAAAGTGAAGGAGGAAACACTAAGCAAGGAGAACAGCATGAGTAGAGGCAGAACTGTGAGAGATCCTGGAATGTTGATTGAATTTTCTGTGTTAGGTTTGAACAAAGACTAAAGGGTAAAGGGAAGTAGTAGGAGGGCAGCCTGGGGTGCAGTGTGTGTGTGTGTGTGTGCGCGTGCGCCCACATGCCCTTGAATATTACTGTTTAAATGTGACTGAGCTGAGGCATTTGGATTTCAAGGTATCAGAGTAATTGGATTGACTTTCATTTTAGAAAGATCACACAAGTACCAGTATGGAATGTGGGTTGGAGGACAGAAAGGTAGAAGTAGTCAAACTATTTAGAAGATCTATGTCAGACCATTTGGAAGATTACAGTGTACTCCAGACAAGAAATGATAAGCATGTGAATTAAAAGAGGGAGAGAAAGGATTAGAACTGAGGCATTTTTGAAGTAAAATTAAATCATATTTGATGACATTTGAGATGTAGGGGGGAAATGAAGGTGGTGGTTCTGTGTTCTGTATAGTTATGTGTTCATTTCTGACGTAGGGGGCTAGAAAAGAGAATGGAGGAAAAGGAAACTTTCCGGGTCAGAGGGCAATGGGAGGTGTGGTTTTGAGGTTCTTCTCTCACCCATTGGGTGCTCATCTGAAATAAAGGGGATAGAAATCATCCTTAGGCACTTCTTGCTCTCAGGTGTAATCTGTGGTTAGCCTTCTTCAGTTTGGTTAATGCTATAACTCAATGGTCGTGTTATTCTTGTTTTCCAGGGCAAATGACTCAGCTTTGTGAACTGATCAACAAGAGCGGGGAACTCCTTGCGAAGAACTTATCCCATTTGGACACTGTGCTCGGGGCTCTGGATGTACAGGAGCATTCCTTGGGTGTCCTTGCTGTTTTGTGAGAGGCCTCTTTTATAGTTTCATGCTTGTTAAGAACACTCTGCACTTTCTGACTTTTTTTCTTTTGGTATAAAAGTAAACCCTGTAAACATTGAGCTCTTTTACAAAACTAAAGTCACATCATAGTAGTTACATTTTGCTCACCCAGCTCATCATTTATACACATTTTGAAATTTTTGAAATGAATGGCCCTCTCAAACGTGGGCACTGTAGTTTGCATTTGTAAGGCTTTTAGTCACATTTTCTTTTTTTTTTTTTAAGATTTATTTATTTATGCATACAAGAGCTGGGGTATAGGCCAGAGGTGCAAGGGGTGAGAGGATTCACCAGAGACAGAGTGGGGAGCAGAACAGGTGGATCTGCTGAAATACACTGCTGAGGGGAGCAGCGGGCAACACAGGAGAGGTTTGCTGTGCCATGTGGGTCAGCTTCCTAGACAGGAATCAAACTCGTGCTTCAGTGACTGCGGATAATATCATAATGCTGAGACTTACCCCTTGCGCCCCCGGAGAGGCCCATTCACATTTTCTAGCTTGGAAAGAAAATAAAGAAGAGTGGTAGAACAGGGTACAGTGGAATATACTGAATGAAATTACCAATGATTCAAAGCAGTGTTGCTTCAGATTACTTTCATAAATTTAAGCTATTTAAGATCAAACTATGGGTTCCTATAACTTTATGTACTTAACAGTAGAATTGGTTTTTTCCTTGATGTTCTCGTGTCATTAATTGGGGTGTTAGAGTTGTCGTGAAAGGTGAAATAATATATAGAAACTTAGAAGAAATTGACCTAAAAGTGAGGGTTTGTCTTCACTCACACTCAATCTCATAGATACGTGTCAGGAAGAATTTAGAGGAGAAACTGTCAGAATGTGCCACATCTGGTAATTTACATGTAAGATAATTAAAATGAAATAAAGATTTTCCAACGTGAATACCCTAGGAGGTTACTCTCCTGGGCAAAGGGGAGCACAGGGCAGTGCCCCATGATGTATGATCCCTTACCACAACGTTGGAGGTAAAGCTGGGCTTTGAGTCTGCACCTGCATATTCCTCCAGCTTCTCAGTCCTGCGGACCATGACAAGCCATGCAGGAAACATCTAGTATATTAAAATTTTACATGTAAGAAAGATTGTAAATATGATCTTAATCTTTTTATTTAAAAAAAATAGAAATAAAGATTCAGTTGCTTGGTGGTACAAGCCACATGCACCTACTGTGTGGGACAACACAGTTATATACCACTTCCATCATGACAGAAAGCCCTGCTGAGAAATGTAGTCAGTGAAGATTTCTTAAACTATGTTCTCTGTCTTGATTATACAAAGAAACCAGGCTGGAGAATCTTGTAGACTCTGGCTGTTCGTTTTTAAAAATCCTGTGCCTCATTTCATTTCATAGAGCTTTGGAAACAAAATGGGCTTCTGGCCTAAGTTGCTTCCATATTTATCCTTCCTCCTCTTTCTCTCCCCATCTCCCCTGCAAATTATCAGGATAATGGGTTCTTTTCTCTTTATTCTAGGTTTGTGAAGTTTTCTATGCCCAGTGTTCCTGACTTCGAAACGTTATTCTCACAGGTTCAGCTTTTCATCAGTACTTGTAATGGGGAGCACATTCGATATGCAACAGACACTTGTAAGCTAAACATCATATTGTTCTTTTCCACTGAATGTGTTTGTTTCCTACTGAATGCATTTTTATTTTCGATATTTTGTTATTATGTCTAGTTGCTGGGCTTTGCCATCAGTTAACAAATGCGCTTGTGGAAAGAAAACAGGTAAGAAATGTTACTTAAGTATTTATAGTTCTTTCGTATATCTAACTTACATAGTGAACTAGTTTGTTAAGGTTCCAGGTTAGTAGTAAGTATCCTAACACTTAGATATATGTGATTACGTTAGAACACGCAAAACATTTGCTGTCAGAACAGCTAGCCCTCCATCGGGTGAGGACCCTGAGATGCAGGGAGAAGTGGTCCCCCAGGTGAGGTTGCTGCTATTGCCTATTGCTTCTGGTTTTTGAAACTACCCTTCTAGTGTCCTTTATTTTGTAAAGTGCTTCATTTTTTGTTTGTCTAAACTTTTAACTTTTGGTTATGGTACTTTTAAGCTTTATAAAAAGTTGCAAGATTAATATAAAGAATACCCAGGCCTCCCCGGTGGTGCAGCGGGTTGAGCGCAGCTCTGTGAGGCTGTCCACAGCCTCTGTGGCACCCGTTGGATTCTGGCCCAGCCGGGGAGATTCCCACATGGCACGACAGACCTTTCCTGTCTCACCCGCTGCTCCCATCAGCAGTGTATTTCGGTCCTTCTGCCTGTTCTGTTCCCCACTCAGTCACTGGTAGATTCTCTCACCCTCCTGCACCCCTGGCCTGTACCCCAGTGCTTGTATAAATAAATAAATCTTAAAAAAAAAAATAATATAAAGAATTCCCATGTGTTCTTTATCCAAATTCTCCAGATACTTTTTTCTCTTTCTGAGCTTTTGGGGAGTAAATTGGAGATATGAGTCTCTTACCCTAAATACTTTAATGATTGTTTCCAAAAAATTAGGACATTCTCTCATGGGACTATAACATAATGATCATCTACTTTAGGGGGTAAACACTGATATAAGCATTTAATCAATAAATAGTTATATTCAGACTTTACCAGCTGTTTCACCAATGACCTTTATAACATAAAGTTTCATATTATGAGTTACATGTATTTTCATGTCTTTTTAGTCTCTTTTAATCTGGATCAGAACTTTAGTCTTTCATCTTTTGTAATATTGACACAAATTAAAATTTAGGTGTTTCTTTTTGATTTGAAATGAACTTTAAGATTAGTGGTGTGAAGGAAACTGAAAACAGAAAGAGCCAGCTGGTGTTTTTGTTGGATAAATTCTGGTTCTTAAGAGATGTTTTAAAAAAATCCACAAGTCTTTACTGAAAAAACCATGTAAGTTACTCAATTATTTTGTGGTCACATCTCCTAGCTAGAAACTATACCTCACGTGAAATTTGGTCTCGTTATTTATAATCGGGGCAGGAAACAGTCCATTTATAACTTGTGGTATCAGTTTCAAGCAATTTACTATCAGATAAAAGATGTCATAGAGAATTTGTAGTTGATACCTACACTGTCCCTTGGGAAAGGCCAACTTTCTTATCCACAATTAAGTTTCAGTTAATGTAGTATTCATCATCAAAAATTTGAATGATTTTTGGCCTCCCTGGTGGCACAAAGGGTTAAGACACAACCTATGAAGCTATCTGCAGCCACTGCAGCATGAGTTCGATACCCAGCCAGGTAGCTACCCACATGGCATAGCAGACCTCTCCTAACTCATCCACTGCTCCCCTCAGCAGTGTATTTCAGTCATTTTGCCTGTTCTGCTCCCCACTCTGTCTCTGGTGAATCCTCTCACCCCTCACACCTCTGGCCTGTACCCCAGATCTTGTATGCATAAATAAATAAATCTTTAAAAAAATTTTTTGTTAATTTTAATGATTTTTATTTGTGAAAATAATGAACACTTGAGAAAGTATTATAATACTGCTTTTGATTATTGATCTTTGTAAAAATAGCTTTATGATTTAAAAAATGACGCTAAATTACTCCAAATATCATAGCTTCAGAAAACATTTTCTGACTGAATAGGATCGGAAATTTCCTGAAAGAGTATGGAAACCTCATATTGTTATTTAAAGGAACCTATCAATTAGTGTTGTTTTTTATTTGTAAGTGACAACATAAGATCCAATGTGCTGCCAACTTTGAGAACTTATCTGAAAGAGATGTCATTTCTGACAGCCCCTGCGAGGAATTGGTATCCTTAAGCAAGCCATAGACAAGATGCAGATGAATACAAACCAGCTGACCTCAATACATGCTGATCTCTGCCAGGTAAGTTACTAAAGAGTGAAAATCATTGATCCAGAGGTGGAAGATTGGTTGTGGGTTTGCTCTACACCAGATTAGATAGTAAAGGCAATTTAGTGGAGGCTGTAGTATGTTCTATTACATTAGTAAAGGAATTTTCAGGAGGCTATGGGATGGCAACTATAGAATGGGGCTCAGCTGGTAAACTTGTGATGTGAGTGGAATAGTGTAATTAATACTTGTGATGTTTTTAAAAATCCCAACTCATTTTTCAGGAATTGTGGAACCTAAAAATAAGCACAGTAACTTCTTATATCTTAAAGTGTTATTTATTTTATTTGTTTCAAAATCCAGAAGACAAAAGAGAGGGTGTATATAATGAACTCTCCCTAACACACTGTTTGCTAGCCACCCAGCAGCTCTTCTCTCCAAAGGAAACCAGTGATAGTAGTTTCTTGTGTATCTTTCCAAAGAATTTTATGAACATTCATGCAAACTGTTTATATATGTATATATATATATTTTACACAAATAGTAGTAATATATATGTTCTTATGTATTTTACTTTTGTCTGCTCAATAAGTCTTGGAGACAATTCCATATCAGTGATTCACAGCTGCAGAGGGATCCATAATATGAGTTTAACCAGTCCCTGAGGAGTTTTTCGATTGTTTCCTTATTGAATAACTTGTTACATGGATTATTTCAAATGCATGTTTTAGTTTCAATTGAAGATATATATGCTTTCTTTATTTTTATTTTTGCTTTATTTTTAAAAACCTGTAGTTGAATTCATTATTCATATGGTGAAAGTGCACTAATCTTAAGTGCACAGGAGTTTGTATCACCATCATCCAGAGACAGAACTTTGCCATGTACTTGCTTGCTTGACTTGCATGGTTTCCTGTATACACTTAAGTAAAGGATTCAGAAATTGAAAAGGAATGCTTGAAGAAAAGATTTTCCTTTTTTTCCTCCCATACCATGCTGGTCTATTTCCTTTCAATAGTTCAGCTGGGAGAAAAAGGACACACTTGTTTGCCTATCTGTAAACAAATGGGAAATTGGGGGACTTTGATTCATCTGTGTAGTGCTTTATCTAATAGCAGCTTCATCTTTTGTAAAGAAATGCTATTTTAATCTGAATGCTTAAGTAAATGAGTATCAACATGTAGATCATTTTGATCAATAACATATAAAACAAAATATCATTTTCTTGAACTTTCTAGAATACGAATTTGTTTCTTCTGCTAAAGCCTTCCAAGTTAAAATTAAAATGATGATTTAATAAAAAAATTTTCACAGCTTTGTTTGCTGGCAAAATGCTTTAAGCCTGCCCTACCATATCTTGATGTGGACATGATGGATATTTGTAAAGAGAACGGAGCCTATGATGCAAAGCACTTTTTATGTTATTATTATTATGGAGGAATGATCTATACTGGGCTGAAGAACTTTGAAAGAGCACTCTACTTTTATGAACAGGTAATCACCTCTCTAAATGTCCCTGGGGTTATTTTGATTTGTGTGATCAAAGAAGTCCCTTTTGGCTTACAACTGGATGAGGCTGAGCCCAGGCCTGTGAGTCTGAGGTGAGGTTCTTTCAAAGACCGTGCTAACTAAATGGTGGTTATCTGCTCCTTAGTTAGAGCAGTAGTAGTGGAGGGAAGAGGACCAATTGGTGAGGTCTAATTTAGATTCTGCTGCTTGCACCCTAACTGTACATCTCTACCTTTATAGATTCCTTTGTGTGTAGAGATGAGATTGAACTGAATGGTCTTTGAAATTTCTTCTTCTAAAGCCATATATGATATTTTGTTAAGTTTTATTTTAACAAGTGAAATATTCTCTAGTCTCATGGTTCAAAATTCAAAGTACACAATGAAAAGTCCCTTCCACTTTAGTCTGTGTCTGTGTAATGGTTTGTGTTAGGAGATATACTACACAATTATATAGAATATGCTGGAAGTTTATTCAATAGTCTGTAAAAGATATACGGTATTAACTAATACCAATGTTTTGAGGCAAATTCATCAGATGTTCCTATTTTATTCATAACACACTTAGGTATGCCTAAATTTAAAGAGCTCACAGTCTTGTTTAAGTACTAACATCAGTACACACATGAAGATCTGTGACTGAGCATTGCCTCATTGAGTGGGGGCTGACAAGTACAGCAAAGGGGGTCTAGGGAAAGTCAGCAGAAGGTGTTCATGGGCAGGAACAGTGTCATTAA